TCCCCACCCCCACCTCCTCCCCTCTCTCAGTTCTAACACGACCAAAATTTAGGGGCTGTGTTCAATAAAACCAGTAATCATGATGAACTATCGCAACGGGTCTGTCACAGACAGCTCAGCACTGACAAGACAAATCTCTATGTCCAGCCGAGGTCAACAAAGACACAATTAGGACTAAGTAATGATAACCCTAAACAAGGAGATTAAATATAAGTACTAAAACTAGTTCTCTCTTTTAACAAAGACATTAACTATAACAAACCCTCTCTCTCTCTCAACAAAGACGCTAACTATTACTAACCCTCTCTCTCTCTCACAAAGCCGCTAACTCTTACTAACCCAGTTTCTCTTTCAACAAAGACTTTAACTATAACTCTCTTTCAAAAAAGACGCTTACTATAACTAACTCTCTCTTTCAACAAAGACGCTTACTATAACTAACTCTCTCTTTCAACAAAGTCGCTTACTATAACTCTCTCTTTCTACAAAGACGCTTACTATAACTCTGTCACTTTGTCCCAGGATATTCAACAGAACACTAACAGAAAACAAAAGTACACACAGACAAGATTGTCTGTAAAAAGTTATCTCAGACAGTCATGGGGTGCCTGGAAAACACAAATCCAATAGTAGAAACAGCACAGGATGTCAGCATACTGGTGGACAGACTTTAAGAAACAGGCTAGGACAAAAGTCACACTCACACACACAGATGTAGATGGAGCAGACAACCCTCAGAGCTCATCAACTACCTGGGGTGAATGCACAACAAACGACAGTTTGGGGAAACAAATGCCTGAGACTTTTCAACTTTCTTCAGACAAATGACAAAAACACAAAGCAGGAGGCTAGTCAACAAACATTCTATTACAGTAGAAGAATGCTGAGAGAGGAGAGACAGAGGAGGAAGACATTTCTCTTTAGTTTTAGGGAACGTTTTATAGCACTTGCGGCACAGATAGGTCATACTAGGTGCTGTCTGAGTTTGAGTAACGAGAAGCACATCGACACAATAATGATCATGGGGAGCAGAGGAAAAAGTAAGAAAGACAGACACAGAAACAACAGATGGAAAGTAAAAGAAGTAGGACCTACTAGTGACACCTTCCAACCACCCGCTACACGTGCTGATGATTAGAGGTGTTACTAGTGAGTAGCACAACACCAAAAAAAAAAGAGGGGGCTGGGGAGAGAGATAAGCATGATAGATATTTGACAGGAGATATGGAGCAAACCACACACGAGCACCCACCAACTAGACATTTCAAAGACAGACCCCTCACATGTCGTAACTCCACACACAGAGAAAGGAGCTGTAACTTCTCTACTGTCACAAACAGTCTACTAACAAGTTACAGGGAGCAAAATCTCTACATCTAAGAGCTGCACAGAATAAACGACAGTACAGAAGAACAAGCACATTAGACTTCAAAACAAAAAAATTCACATAAGTAGAAACAAAGATGCACAGTGCATCTTTAAATCTTTAACAGTACAATGCTCCTACAGAGGAAAAAAAGTTTATCTTACACTAAGAGGAATAACACGATATTCCTGAACAAAGGTTTATCTTACACTAAGAGGAATAACACGATATTCCTGAACAAAGGTTTATCTTACACTAAGAGGAATAACAAGATATTCCTGAACAAAGATGAAGGCGAAACAGCACACAGAAAGCCCACAATGAACAGAGAGAGGATGCACTAAAAGTTTGCCGATGATGTCAACACTTTAAACAGGTGTAAGGAAGCAAAAAGCAAACATACAACTGGTCTACATTCGTTAACGTGCGTCTGTACGTGACAATATTGACAATAGGTATCTTCTTTGGCATACATCACAAAAATACTGAATAAAACAAAGAGCAAAATCAGAGTTACCAAGTTTTCTTCGACTATCCCTCTTTTTGATAGAGTTAGCGCCCCACCAAAGGGGGCGTGTCCCCTGACTTTTTTCACAGGTGAGGTAACTCAACACTTGCCCACAAACTAACACAGGTAAAGGAACTGGTAGGAGAAGAAATGTATGGAATCACGGTGAAATCAAGCCCTCGTCAGATTAAAGAATTACTGAAGAAACCGACATTCTTCCACCCATTGTGCCATTTCCGTCACATTTTTTGCTGTGGTCCAAACACAGTTGATGTCAAATCTGAGAACATTTTCATGTGAATTTCACCCAAACCGCAGACCAGCAGCACAAAAAATATAAACTTGCAGTTTCCACAGACATTGAAGTTTGGAATTCACCAAACTTTGGCGGCCATTTCCTCACTAATTTTTCCCCTGACACCCTGAAATCCCCACTTTCTTCAATCGCATGTATCTTCACCTCTATTCACGAAAGATTAGAATTTTTTTTTTCACGAAAAGCAAGAGAGTAGATAAAAAACTTTAAGATGATACCAATGAACTCTGTATGCCCACAAGTTGACAAGTGCCCAATTCCACCGAGTCATCATGACACAAATACTCCAGGATGCCCAGATTTAGTTCACTGCACTTCGGCTTGAGCATTTTTCTCCCAGATGGAAGCATACGCAAACGTCATCAGCGACAGCAACAGTGACAGAAACATGACAAGTTTCCGTGGCTTATCGCAGGTGACAGAACCTGAGACTGTGTCACGGGTGCGATGCTACTTGCAGCTCAGAACTTATCATTATCAAAATAAAATTACAAACAAGAAAAGTGTAGCAAGAGAAATACTTTTCTCAGAGGCTAAATAATACATAAACTAGGGTGCGATCTCCATACCACAAGTACAAGTCAGGAAATTGCAGTAACTGCCCCCACACTCTTCCATCAAGTGCTAGATCTGCAACAGCCATTGGCCTTACCATGGTGTTCCCATTCATGTCTTTGCTTGGGTACTCTCAACAGAAAAAAAATCTATATTAAATTATCCTGGTCATTCTCTATTGCCTATTTGTTCAGGCATTCCAAGTAAGTTCTCTGGGTCTACACCTTGACTCATTTGCCTCCAATTTCACAAGTGAGGAACAGTCGCTTACACTCAACAACCTTCGTTAAAAGGACAACTTTGGGAGCCATGCACGTTTTGCTTTACATTCAATTCAGCGTACAGTGATGTTTTATAAATATAACAAAAAACATAGAACCATAGGTTGCATTACTAACAAGTTCTTGTCCCTTCCCACTCACACAGAAGTGAAACAAAACAGTCCTCAAACTTTTTGTACCCACAAGTCATGACAAAATTGAGCATCAGAATCATTCAGCACAAACTCATCCTCATCAACGGGAGTCATGTCTTGTTGTCGGAAGCAACTGCACCCATACAATACAAGAGCAAAAAAACATATTCAATAAGGAAAGAGTATATTTAACATGTTCCTCCCCACCCCCTTTCTCTCTCTCTCTCTCTCTCTCTCAAGAAAAAAAGCAACGACAACAACAAAAAGGAAAATTGTAACAACACAAACCTCTGAGGAAAGATATGAGACCCATACTATAAAAAACCAAAGTATACTGGTCACCTTGGAGTACAAGTGACCAACTCCCATACACATCACAGGTGTAACAAAGTCGACCAAACAGAAATCAAAACCCTAAAAAATCCAAATTCATCACCTCCATTACAAACAAAACTCAAATTGAACCCAAGCAAAAACTCTAGGAATTTTTCTACAGTATTTCTGATCTCTTCATCACAGATTATACCGAGTGAACCCAACAGGAAAGCAAACACGGAATATATATAAACAAAGTGAAAGCCTCCAATAACAATAAAACAAACAAAAAGCAAAAATAAACCCAAACAAAAGTGAATAAATGTTCTCACAATGTTTCTCATCTCTCCATCACAGGTTAGAAAACCACAATGACCCACCCACAGAAAGATAAATACAGGACAAGGTGATAAAAATATACAATCAAAGTAACATCTAAACAAAAGCAAAACAAAAACAATTAAAAAGAAAGAAAATTACAGAAACTTTCCTACAGCCAGCCTCCGTCTCCGGTCTCTCTCCCTTTCTCTCTCTCTCTAACAAACTGTCGCCGTGCTCACGCTGTGCTCTCTTTTCCTTTGATTATAATCTTAAGTATCTGCACACAGCCCCACACGTTCACTCGTCATGTACCTCCTCTTACGTCTCGGGCCCGAACCACAAAGCAGAAACGGCAAATATTAAGAACACGACGCCTCCTATCAAGGTCACTGAAAAGAGAAAGAAAAAAAAGAAAGAAATGTATTCATGACATTCTGGCCTACAGCTACCACTGCAGTAGTAGAAATTGTTCCAAAACGGCCACACATTATCGAGGAGATAAGTGGTTGATGTCTTAAGACAGGTTGATGTCTAGGACAGTGTCGTTATAATATACAAAAGACGCAAGGGGGAGTGGGAGTGGAGGGGTGTTAGTTTTAGTAAGTCTTTAACTGCAGTTGCAATACAATAAGGTCATAAAAGAGCTAAAGAGTAGAGGTGTTACAAGAGGGTAACGTACACAAAAAGGAAGGAAGGAAGATGAAGACGATAGATGTTTGATAGGAAAGAAGAAGCAAACCGCAGCCAGAGCACCCGCCAACGGAGGTGGGGGTAAGGTAGGACGGGGGGGTAGTCTTTCGTACAGGTGATTGTCTTGGAGAGGTGATCATTACAGCAAGTCCGGCTGTACTTGTACAAGGCATCATCGGGAGAGAGCATCAAATAGTGCACAACACTCCAAGCACTAAACTGAACATAACGCAAACAAGTGTGGGCACTGAACAGAAATCTCAGAAAGAAGTAAAATTACAATTGAACTTGCTCTCTAACGGCCACCTGTTCAGTTTAGTTTTAATAAAAGTTTTACAGTACTTACAACACATAGGTCATAATAAATATAAGTGTCAAAGATCCGAGGTGTTGCAAGAAAGCAAACATGCAAAGAAAGGATGAAGAAGAGATAGGGACGATAGATGTTTGATAGAAGAGAAGGAGAAAACCACACTAGCGCATCCGCCAACCATCCACTCAGCCACCTGTATGTATTAGAAATTCACCTGCACAAATGGCCAATTCCATAATAGTTTTAGTTTTAGTAAGAGTTTTACGGCACTTGCAACACAGTAAGGTCATATTGGTGCCGAAGATTAGAAGTGTTACAAGAGAGTAACAAACACAAAAAAGGAGGAGAAATAAGGAGGATAGATGTTTGATAGGAAAGAAGGAGCAAACCACACCAGAGCACCCGTCAACCACCCGCCTTCCACAATAATGACAACCGCTTTTCTCCCCAACATCAGGTGGCCGTCTGCAACAATTTCCACACTGTATCTTTGAAGTATCAAACCTAGGCTAAGGTGTTTCTGCATTATGTCGCTGTTCTCATGGCAACATTAGGATCAATATTTTTCTTGCCACTGAGCCAAGATTGAAACAAAATACAAAAATTTTCAGTCCTGAGTATATTATATATTAAAAAAAGCAACTGGGCTGAAGCAAAAATCCACAAACTTTCCTGACTTAAAAACACATACAAACTGAGACTTGTTTTTAGTTCTAGCTTCAGTAAAAAGTTTAATGGCACTTGCTTCACAATTAGGTCATAATATAAGGCGCTACAAGTGAGTAACATACAAAGAAAAGGAGGCGGAGAGATAGACGTTTTTGGGGGGGTTTTTTTGTAGAGGTTTTGCGGCGCTCACAACTGCATAAGGTCCTATGAGCGCCAGAAGATTAGAGGTGATATAAGAGAGTAACAAACATAAAAAAGAAAAAGGGGAGTAAGGACGATAGATGTTTGATAAGAAAGAAGGAGCAAACCACACCAGAGCCCCCC